TTCCAGCAGGAGGGGAATTCAAGAGTTACCATAGCAGCCACCCACTCTCAAATGAGGGGAGGGGAAAAAAAAAGGAAGACTCAAGAACTTAGAGGAAAAAAGAAGCTATTGTTAACAAGACAATATGCACAGATGCTGGGTGATAAAGACATGGAACTAGATAGGGGAATTATTAGATAAAGCATAGGGTTGGTTTTTAAATGGGTTGATCAGTGAAATCACACAAGTCTGATGCTGTTTACCTCACCCCCTCAGAGAGCAAGGACTCTGGATCAGCTTGGTGCCTGTTTATGTTTTTAAGCTGGGTTTGGTTTATGCACAGTTGGGTGAAATGTCTAGGGAGAATTCAGCAAGAATCCTTCCCTCTCACCCAAGTATTTATGTTAACCAAAAAGAAAGCACATGTTGTATCAGAGATCATATGCTCATGAAATAGTAGCTGAGTAATATACGGAGGTCTTTATGTCCATGCTCTCAAAAATCATTGTACCACAGGTCATACAAAGACTAGGCTACTGTTTAAATCTTCTATTCCAGTGAATAGTCATTGAGGGCAACTGTCCTGATAAATGTCATGACAGTTTAAGGACATGACCCCAGATATTAGAACATTGCATTTCTTTCCCTGGTGTGTAACAAATAGTATTTTTAGCTGCAACCATGCAGCAGGCTAAAAAAAAAAAAAAAAAAAATGGACTGTCAATATCAATATTAATCAAGGACCTAAATTTGCAAGCTACAAATCGGCTGATATGTCATAGCAATTCACTTTATCAGGCAGCCCATAAGAACTCAGAAATCCTGAGAACAGTTTATAGTGGTTTACTTCAGTGATGACAGTGTCACAAATCTTGCAGTGATTCAGTAACAACATAGGAGATTTTAATTTCTGCAGTTACTGAAAGATTATAAAGTTATGAAACAGATCACAGCACTTAATTTTTGATGTTGGTAATTGTAGACTGACCACAGACAACAGAAGGTTTGCATAAAGTACCCTTGCTCATGTCAAAAAGCTATTGATACTAGGTATTAGAATTTACTCATGTCTACTTTTTGTTTTTAAAATGTATTCATACTATTTTCCTTCCTGCTTTGCAGTAGCTGAACAGTTGGTTTCCTTTAGTTACTGTGACTCATGGCAACAGTGGAAATCTAGCTTTACAGATGGATGAGAAAAATAGGAGCAATTAAAATGAAGAATGCTGAATATTTTCTAAAATAGCTCATACCAAATTTAGAGGTATATTTCAGTGAAGCAAAGCCTTAGATATGTCCCCAAATAAAGACAATACTATTAGGAGTCTTACACGTGTCTCAAGTTAGAATTTTATTGTTCATCTCTTATCTGCAGATAACATTTGCCTGCGCTAACTGATGATCCACATCTCTTAAGACACCGTTCACAAGAACTTTTGGTAAATGTAACTGTCAGTGCTACAGATTTTAAGCAAATGGTTCTAAAACCACATTCAGAAGCATGGAGTTGGCATGCTGGCTGCGGGTGGGGTTGGGATCATGTCAGACCAATCACGAAATAAAAGTCAGCTCATTAAACATATGCCCAAAGCAATACACACTGACACAAGTATATATACATGCGTACGTATGTGCACACACACAGGTACAGGCAGGCCACTGTTCAAACACTGAGGGAATCTCAAGGATTCAGAGGGGATTTCAGTGACAACAGAGGTACACACACACACTTGCACGTTTCCCACTGACACTGAGGGCAGCTCAGGGCTACAAAGGACTGTGACTACCAGTGCAGATCTGGCAAGAGACTCCCACAGGCATGTGCTGGGGACAACTTTACTAAGAACAAGATGTGCTTCTGCTTAAGACTAGCACGACGTGCACTCCAAACTAAGCCAGGGAACACTGCACAGAGTTAATCGAGTGAGATCCTTTAATCAACCTGCCTCTCACCTGCATCCCCACACCCATCAATAGCTTCTAGAGCAGGTCTGATGCCAGGCAGTAAACACCAGTTTTTATCCCAGCCCTGCTCGTCACTTCCCGTATCAGAGAGGAGAGAGGGAAGAAAGGCTGGACTGTCTCATAGCCCACTTCACTGCAGAATAAGACCCAAATTGACTTTGCATGAGCACAGAGATACCTATAAACACCAATTCTGGTACCTAAAGACACACACAGATCTTGGGGAACCTGCAGGAATCAGACACATGCCCACTTTTCTGTACCGCCTTACCAAAGAATACGGCTGTATTACTAATAATTATATACTATTAGTAATATTACATATTACTAATGCAATACTAATCTGTACTGGGTTAAAACATGGAACTACTGTCATAGGCAATTCCTACCCTTATTCTTTACCACCCAACAAAGCCTCCTCCCACATTCTCTGAAAATGGGGAAGAAGTAAACCAAAAACCTGGTTATCCTAAATTTACAACACTTTTTGGACAACTTTCAGCATTGCCTTAGCTCTCAAGGTTCAAAGGACAACTACATCTGTAACTGTCAACATTAAGTGCAAAAAATCAAATCCTCAAAGGCCTTACAGTAAGTCAAAGAAGGCTGACATACATAAAATCAGGCAGTAGTTGTCTAATCTTTCCCCCATTCCTCCCCTCTCCCCGCACAGTGAGCCGTTAGCTCTCCCAGACACAGAGGCATCGAATGGTACAATATACTTACAGCCAGATACATAGCTGCATATACGCTTAGTGCTGCTTCTTTGGATGGGAATGTCTTTCTGGCTTTCATGATAAGGTCTGGATTTCCGGTACAGGCATGTACGCTACTGATGAACTGTGTATACTGTTTACATCCAAGTGCTGTATAGTTGGGTTTACAAAGTGCAAGAAAATGTGGTGCAAGATTCCCTGTTACTACTTGTCCAGCATTTACAAAGATGTCCGTAGCGAACAGTCCAAATGTGTAAATCCCTAAAGAGGAAAACAAAGAGTTAAATTTCCTGACAATTTCACCTCAGGGCAACATATTGTAGTATTTATCATAGTAATACACCATCTCCTTCCATTTAAGAGCATGAAAAACCCTCATGTGTATTGTACCCTGAAGACCTGGCTCATGCTGGAGATGTACTTCCCTATACAACTGCAGCAGCAACATCACGACGTACCCACACACCTGATGATCTCTCTCCATCCCTTGGAGGCAGACGCTCCCCTCCTGTGCAAGTACCCCACCTTCCTAGCCCCCCTAAAGCCATGAGTCTCCACTGTTTGTGGAGCCAGCTATACTGGTACCATGTTCACGAAACAGAAGTGACAGAGGCAAATTCTTCACTGTATAATACTGTTTGAGAACCGAAGAAGTCAGGCCCTATTGACAATGTAACCTGAAAAGTTGCAGCACATAGAGGACAAATATTTTCTTTTCCCTCGCAGTTGTAAAGAAGCTGAAGAACCAAGTAATTCAATATTGCCATGCACGAGTTGGCTTCATCTGCCTGCTACTAGGTACATCTCTATGCATGCCGTAACAATCACAATACCAACACAGTGAGCTACAGGTCTATGTACCTGAGAAGCCACTCATGCTAAAGACATTTTTTATCAGACATATCAGCAAAGCATCAAGCACACGTACTCCTTCACTAGAATGGAAATGCATGCATCTGATTACTTAAAAGAAAGCAGATTTCTGCTATTTTGAGGTTGCTCTCTGTACTTTTGGAATCAGAAAATGAGCTCTGGAAGAAAATGCAGATAACAGCACTCTGACTGGGAGGCAAAGCAGGTGTATGTTCAAATTCCACCTGAACTACAGATTTCCTCCTGTATTTGCACAGGCAAATCACCTTTCCTTTCCTGTACTTCAATTCATTGTGAATACAGAATGACTTCTGGCAGTTCCAAACTTCATGGGGTACCATGAGAACTTTAATGGAAGCACACCACAGCAGACACGATCCCACAGAAACATGCATTTCTAAAGGTCATTTTTTTCCTCAGAAAAGCTAGAGGACTGAGGACGATTTATGGGATCCTGGCTGGTCAGCAATGTCACACTAACATTAATTCACCCTGAGCTGCTAGTCACCGGTGAGCAGCGGATTGTGCCTCGCCGAGTCACTGCACAAAAGGGCCCCTTCAGGGAGCCCCGAGGTGGCCACATCACTTTGCGTGAGCATAATGGGCAGCAATGCCTCACCTGGTAGAGCAGTGCAGAGGCCTCTGTCCACCCCTTCCTCACCTCCCATGTTTTATTTGTTTCTGTGAGCAAGGAGAGCCCACCAAGTGGGAAGGAAACGCAGGCACTCATTATCTCATTATACACTGAATGCAACTGGAGCAGGAAGAGCCCATCATCATCACTGCCCACCTTCTCTGGACCTACGCAAGACAGTCTCATTCTTAGTGACTTATCACTGCGGTGTGACAGACACGGCTGTCTCACAGACTCTGCAAACACAGACACAGCTGCACATGCCCTCCCTCCCCCTGTGCCTGGGGCATGAGGGAGGATTAGCTGCCCCAAGGCCTCATTCCTCCAGCTGTTTCTCTTAGAAACAACCATTGAGTGAGAAGCAAACAAGAGAACTGAGTCCTGCTATGGTGTCTCTGCACATATGAAAAAGCAGCATCTAGGAATATCCAACAGACATTTTGAGTGGTGGTACTTCTCCCTCCAAAAACATTTTCAATGAACTAAGCAGAAAGGATGACATCTCATATCTACTAAATTCAACAGGGGAGTTACAGCAGACTTCAGTGGAACATGGATTTTGTACAGTTTTCTACTAGGGATTATAACACAGTCTCCAAAATAAGAAAGTACCTAAACCAGGCTTGGCTTCAAAAACACATTTATATCCCTATGTCTTCAACTTTGGCTGTTACATGTGTGTGTAACCTAAAGAAAACTATAAGCTATACATATGGCGCAAGGATAGCTCCTCTCTTCACCTCACCCTAATCCAAGCCTGCTCGTGTTTCTTCCCCCTTACCGTCCCAACTTTTTCTATTTTTACTGCTGTTCCTGCAATTATTTTTTTCAAGCTAAGCTTACAAGATGCTTCACTTGCTACCCAAAAGGAGAGAACTCTCTGTACCTGAGTTAAGTCTACACATGAAATGTTGTATGGTTATCTGAGTATTTTCCCCGAATCGATATTAAGACATAATTGATCACTCTCACCATTCAGAAAATGAAAGCAATACTTTTACTCGTACCAAGGAATCTGATGGTCCTGCGCACCAGTGGATTTATATAACAACAGTCTCCAGTTAATATTGTTTTTTCTTGGTTTTCAAAATCCTTTGTAGCTAACTGTAGACAGAACACTGCAGTTTCTCCAACGATAATCTTAAGGAGAAAAAAGGGAAGAGAAATGGTACAGCAGGTTACAGCAAGTAAAATATACCAATATTACAGGGATGACTATCTCATCTTAAGGAAACAAAAGCAAACCAGCATAAAAGACAACATACGTGAACCAAGTTCTGTACATTAATCTTCTTATGGGGGAAATACGCCTTATGGTTTGCTTTACTTTATTGGCATTAAAAGAGAATAAGCTTCTTTAACCAGGGAGTGGAATCAATATAACATAACCTAGTTTTCAGGATGAGGGGAAACAGCAATCTATTAGTTCAAGAACAACAGATCACATAATGCACAAGAAGTGGACCAAAACAAAGGCCTAATCCTGGAAGATGCTGAACATTTCAGTTCCCACATGGCTCTCACTGACACTCAGTACTTCATAGGGCTGGGCTTTAAATTTTGGACTATGGTGGGAGAAAAAAAAATAAATCAAACAGAGCTCCTGTTCACATCAGAGGATTGGTTTGCCAGGAGGTATCAACAGGGTTTGATTCATATTTTGCCAACTAAGTTTAACATGTTTGGCTTTAGCTTTGGTCCTCATGCTTAAATAGTCACCACTGATATTTTAACATCAAGCATAGCCTGTTTGCCATTCATTACATTAAAATGAATAAAGCCCTCATGTCTATAGATATTCACATTACGGTTGGTGAAAAACACAAATCAAAAAAGAAAAATACAGATCTTGAATGAAAATTATTGCCTCTAAGATGTGTATCTACCTGTACAGAAAAACACAACCTTTAATTTACTCATGGCAGTTACCGTATTGAGACTTAATAGCCAAAGCGAAGCCTTAAGCATGTACCTATCTAAACCTACTAAAGCTTTACAGCAGGTCACACAGGTATGATCAAAAAGAATTGAGCAGAGGGGTCAAACACTGACCACTGTACTCCAGCTTTGATTCACTGTTGGACTTAAACGCAAGGATTTTCCACTATTCTATGTGAAATAGCAGCAAAGCTTATTTATAAGTCCACCATAGTTTGATAAACAGGAGCAAAGCAAACTGAAGTCTAATACTACACAAATACAAGAAATAATGCCATCAAATCTGGTTTGTTGCCTAGGTTTCTCTAAACATTTAGCCTAACAGGAAATTATAAACCTTTTCATATATCATGATGGGTATGACCAGTTCTACACACAGCACCAGTTACAAAAAAAAACAAAAACAAAAACCCACACAACAACAACGACCCTATGAATGATGGCTCATAAGCAGAGTTTGTTGTCAACATGAAGAATGCGATTAATGACCTTACTTAGTTATTTGTAGATCTACACAGATGACTTCAGGCTAAATTGTGACACGCAGAGGATGAAAGTGTTTATGATAAACAATGTGGCACAAATAACAAAAATATCTGTGGTGGTCAGCATGTAAAAAGCAAAATTCAGTTTGTTACAGAAACAAACTAGTGGAATTTTTAAAAGAAACAGAAATTTCAACACCTGAACTCACAAGTATCCTCTCTCTACTTTGATGCAAACACATTTTCAGTACAGTGAAGAACAATTCCTTAATGTAAAATTAATAAATGATTGGTACACATGAAATATAACTCAGCCTGAGTTCAGGGTCATCAAAAATTATGACAATGATACAGAGAATTCAGCTCAAGGACCCCTACAGCTCTCATAAGAAAACAAACAAAGCCTCACTTTTAATATGATTCATAAAGGTAGAGAACTGAAACACCACGATTTTTACTGTGAGTCACAGTAACTCCGTTCTTTCCTTTGGAACAATGAAACATCAAGGACTAGGCAACCTGAACACAGTAAGATGCTGCATTTAACTGTTGGGTTTTTAAAACAAACAAACAAAAAAGTCTCAATTAATTTCAGTTAAATTATTGCAATTTTCATATTCCAGGAAAAAGCAGAATCCAGCATCAGGGAAGTGTTGGTGATACACAACACTCCACCTTTTGCATCAAGCTCAACTCTTGAGCTTTGAGCAGTCTCTGGACCTGCTGATCTAGGAATAGGGGTTCTTCTTTTCAGTCGGTAGGGAAGCCAGGGTTATCAAACGGGAGAACTGCTCATTCAGTTCTCAAAGGAGATCCTCACTTCCAGCGACTTGTCTTCCTCGGTTGTATCTAGGTCCTTGCTACTGGCAACGATTTTTTCCTTGTTACATTTCCTGTCTTTGATGGTAACCTGGATAAAGAAAACACTCGGCTCCAAGAACAGCGGGGAGCAGTGTTCAAGTTCTTCGCTGAACAAAAATACTCTGAGTGGGTACATAGGTGCAAGGGTCAGAACGATGCAGAACTTGGCTAAACACAAAGCTTTTGTTATACTGGGCCTAGTGCTCTACCCTCAGAAGTAATCAGAGTGGGAGATGCCATTGAGCACAACAGGTAGTAAACTCTACACTTCTGTGGCTTTGATTGAATTCTTCTGGAATTTGGCAACAAATACAGGTTCTGTGTTTTTCTGTACAGCTTGGCTATAGCTGTTCTTCTTCCTCCATCCTTCAGCATAAGCACTGCTGATCTCAACATTCAGCCTACTGATGTTTCAGAAAAGGAAGGAAAAATCTTTTTCTATCTCTGTAAGTCCCAGGAGACATACTCTGTCCAGTGCAATTCCCTCCCCTTCCAGCAACACTGGCAATAATCAGCTCTAGAGGGTAAAGGAAAGGGAGAGCAATCTCCCTCTTGCCCTTTACCACAGTTTGCATGCCTGGTACGTTCCAGGAAGGAACAATTTCTGTATTACCTCTGGCAGAGGGACCACCATTACCCCTTCCACTGCTTATGTGAGTTCCAACAAGGCAACAAATGACACTTAATATGACAGAATTACTTGTGTACTTCTTGGTTAAGTCTTGGGGCAAAAAGTTTTTGGAATATTCCAAAACTGATAGTGAAGGATTGCAACAGAGAAGCAAAAAGCTTTGACACATAACTTCTGGACAGACCTACACAAGTCCAGGTATTGAAAGATAATTTGCAATGAAAGAATGAGGATATTACAAGAGGTATATTCTACCTTATTCTGTCTAACAGGGTCACAATATTTTCAATTCCTGTACAGCTATCCTGAAGAAAAATATACATTGAAATTCTTAGCTCACAGATATTTTAACAGCTGTTAAAAGCAGAGGCTATCCTTCCCTAAGGCTGCGAAGCCCTTTTGAACATATAATTACAGAATGTGAAGTATAAAGAAAGAACAATTTTCACATGAAGATTAACAATATGAAGCGCATGATTTCCAGTATTCTAAAAAACATACCTAAAAATTATTTGCACAGTCCTTAGATAAAAATGCAGGGTATATAACTGTTACAAGAAGGAGCAACACAAGAATGATTGCCCTACAGGCACAGGCCTAAATTTGGACAGGCAGTGACCAGGTCCTTGTTCTACTACAGCTTCCCTCCGTAATCACAGGGAAGTCCTTAGTCCTGGCTCACAATACAAAGCGTAATAGGAACAACACAGAAATCACCCGACAGAAAGATATTTTATACTAATACATACTTCATAACAAGCATTTAGATAATCCTTTCTTTTAATGGAAGCATAGAAAAGAAATATTAACCCAGCAAAATCTAACTTACAGGAAAAGTTCTCATAACCATCTCCATGGCAATCGTATCCTGTCTGTGATGTGACAACCCATTCAACAGCCAGGAACAGAGGTTGGGAGACCAAGATCTAAATTTAATACTTCTTGTTTCATCTCTTAGGTCCTGATTAATTTATTAGCTGACTGATTTTCATACTGCTTTTGGACTAGTAATATACCTATTGTCAGCTACTGAATATCTTTCCCTTGTTTTCTCCACAAGATACTTGGAACATTTAGCACATGTTCCCTACACTTATTCCTTCCACCAAAATAAGTTCTTTTTTTTTTTTTCCTGCATTAGTCATTTTTCTGAATCCAGGCAAGCTGCTCCTAGTTTTAGCACTGCATGTCAATTTGAAAATCTACTATTTCCTTCCCAAAATCAGCCATCTAGTATATTAACTTGGTTCTAAATTCTGAAATCTTTTTGAACTTGAAATGTCAAACCTGACTCACCCCAAATATTAGAGCTATAGCAGCTCTGACCTTGTTGATTTTCCAGTAAACTGACTCCAGGAACATACTTACTCTAGTGTCATGTATGCGTTAGAACAGCCAGCACCCATGTAAATAAATGACCTTAAATGTGCACTTCTGAAATACTAATGAGATTTATTTTATGGCCTACCTTCTCAAATATGACATAACTTCCTATAAAAACCCAGGATTCAAGTAAGAATTAAACATTCATTTGGATAACAAGATATCTGAGAGTATATTAATGCATTTAAACATGATAAATCGTGAAATTTAAGGTTAATATCATCTACTTGGGATTAGGAAAGAAATTTCTGTTACAGCCATTCATAGGGCTTTCCAGCTAACACCTACTTTAGAGTATACAGATGTTCATTAAATATTTCATATGGACCAGAGAACGTGGCAGAATACACGATTCGGTCTCTGCCAATTCTCAGGGTTATGCTGTAGCTACAGCAACCACTCAGATGAGTAATACTGAAAAGCAGCTACTGCATTCAAAAGAACACTAAATATTCATCCATGTTCTGAACTTCTCAAGCGAAGAACAGTTGACAATACTGTGCACTACAATTTCTCTTCTGACTTCATTCATTGCATTTCTTTCATCTAGGCACAACTTGAACCCTAACCGATGCATTTGTGAGACTATCTTCAAGAAATAACATGGCAAGGGATTGTCCCTCTGGGGAATGAGCATCTCAAGCAGTTCACAGCTCTGCTTTTCTCTCCAGAACGAATTTTCTTACACTTCCGTATCAGGCAGGAAGGGAACCGGAGCTAAAAATATTTGGGATGATTTCCGTATCTCCAGGCAAACTGTTATCATTTAAGCTTCATGGCCTCCCCATTCATCTCACCTAGGAGTTCCCACTTAAAAAATGTGGGGTAGTTTTATTTTAAAAATATGGCTTCCATAGCCTTTATTGTTCCTGTACTTTGCCTTTTCTTCTTAACTTCTAGCAAGACCATGGGCTATTTCTGGCCTA